TTCCAGTACCTTGCATTCCTAGGTCTTTGCACAAGCAACCTAGTCTCTTAGGAAAAAATCTTCATCCTCCTCATGTTTCCTACTTCTTTTATTCTGAAGTTGGGTTTAATACAAAAGGAACTTCTTTAATTTCAGTACTTCACTAGAGAGCTGGTGTGAACTGAGGAAGAACCTCAAAGGGAAGCTTAAGCATCCTGTAGTAATTGTTTGGCAAGTTTATCTTTCTATAGCAAGCCATCATGTACTGGTTATCTAAATACAAAAATAAAATTCTTGAGTCAAGTGGCTGTCAAAATACAGATAAATAAGGATTAATTATTCTTCTTCACTGTACAGTTTCTCAGTGGGACAAATATTTGGCTTACACAGTAAACTATAAACAATAGTCACATTTTGAATACTAGGATTAGAGTTTAAGTGAACTCTAATAAATAGCCTGTTCCTATTAACAGACTTTTTTCCTTTATTACTGTTATTTAAACTACAATATTTTAGGAGAATATCTGCATTCCTAGGCAAACATTTCTTTGGATCTTCTTTCTCAAATATTTTATCATTCTTCTTTACATAAAAATATAACATATTTTTGACAGGAATTTTAATTTTACTCTGCTGGATAATCATTGGTTTAGACTGCTTATATCTTTTCCATCCTTGTACTTCCATTTCTCTAAACCCTTTGGTTTCTTCGTTCTTGTACCTCTTCTGCAATTGCTTATTTTCAGCTCCACCACCTTATCTTGTATTCTTCTTTATCCCCTAAATTTGTCTTAATGATTGTTATACTAGAATTTCTTGTGAACAGTTTCAATGTTCTGGCATTTTTATTATAGGAGCATTTTTGGCACATTTTTCTATCCATGCTTGTTCTTATTTATTTGTAGGTTAGAATCTCCATTAATGCCCTTCTTGGGTACTACTGCCTTGAGGCAGGGGAATTGTGGTAAAAGGAACCAAGTGTGTGCTTTCCCTAAGAGTCTCTGCTGCACAGTAATTCTGATAAGATAGGTGAGTCCCCAAGACATGGCAGAACTACTAGCTAACAACCTCACTGCTGGCTCTACTGTGGAGACTGCAGGACACTACTGAACAACCAGTTGAGTTAAAAGGTGTGTGATATTTAAGATTCTGTTCTGCATACATACAGATTGTGCCCTTTTTTGACTGTGGAGAGATGATGTGAGTAACTGGAAAAGGTGAACTGCTGAAAATGCAGCTCAGAAGTTCCTGGAACTGATCATTGTGTTAAACAGACAACAAGGAGCGTGTCAGATTGGTTACTCATGATACTCCTGGGAGTGACCTGCAGCTACGACTTCCTTTGTTGTTGTCAACTGTAAAAGCACTGAGTAAATACAGAGTTCAATATGCATTGGTTATCTCAGCAGCTTTGATCTCCTTAAAGATCAAACAGTTAAGGGTACTCAGTGTGTTCCAAGTTCTTAGTTAGTCACTGCAAACTTTTCTAGCTATAATTGCCTTGTTGCAATTCTTAGCTGTATTATGATTCTTCACTGTGATTTATTGCTGAAAGAAAAAATTAGACAAAACCTTTCAGTTATAGAGCTGTCTAACAACACTATATCATTCAGAATTTATTTTTCTTTTAGTTTTAGTTCTACCTCTTGGGTACCTGTGGCCAACAGTTTTGTTTGTCCCTCAATAACATTCTGTGATTCTGTGATTCATTTATGCACACTTGCAGAAACAACACACCACTGAAGACAGCTCAGAATACAACAAAATAAGTATCTGGCTAACCTGCAGAACAATACTCAGGAAAAACTCCATAGTGTCTCACATACTGAACGTGAGAATGGTGAAGCTGTTATTTTTTGTGCTGTGAATGTGTACTTCCTTTAGCTATTTGTAAAATAATAGGTTGATTCAGCTTTGATTCAGTTAATCCAGGCTTTGGCGAATTTCGGAGCACAGAGGCTAGTCCCCAGCTGGTAGGTGGATTACAGTTAACCACATTTTTATTCTGCTATCTGGGAAAGAAGACTGAAGGAGACACCAGGTATGAAGTTTGTTTCCTGGTGCCTATTGATAGAGGTTGATTTGCATTTCAGAGTTTATTGTAGGTTGTATGGAGGTTCTTGACTATTCATTATTCTACCCATTTGGCGTGCCCTTGCCTTCATTCTTTTCTTCATCTCCCTCAAATACTATTCGGATGCATTATTTTTGTCTTTCTTTCTGAGACTAGGAATTTAATTTTGTAACTGAAATAACCTGACAGGGAATGACAGTCCTTGTTTGTACTGGCATCACCTTCATATTGTAAGATCTTTGGTGCACGTTTGCAGGCATACAGTCAATATCTTGGGCCTGTACAACAGCATCAGTTATGTCAGCCATTGCCCTTGAAAGTGTTATTTGTGAAAACTGAAGCTAATAACAATTGCTAGAAATGAAAAAACAGCTGAGTTTAATATTAGAAGTTTTGTGTTGATACTTAAATCTGCTGAATGTCACTTCTTTTTCTGGAACCAGAGTAGGCATTTTTGTTCAAGCTGAGACTCAGGTGAACCAATAACATTTGTTACAACACATCACACACATTAAAATTATGGCTAAATCTAATATGAAAAAGAATATTTATTTTCATATCACTTTTAAAGATGAGCAAACATTAACTTGGCAGAGAACTGTTCATTGCAGCATCTCCTTGATATACCAGTGAATATATCTGAAATCTTGAGCATTTTGGGCAAAATCTCTTTACTTTAATGTATATCTTTGTAAATAAAATGGGAATATGGCTTGAAAAATAAGCTGACACATTATATTCTCTGTTACATAAATGCATGAATTGACAGAATAGTGATATTTAAATTGTTCAAATTATAAAAGCCTTTTTCCAATATAAAAATCTTATGTACGCTAGTAATAAGTGGCAAAACATGAACATGGAAATTTATGCCTTACACTATTGTACCAAATACTGTTTAACTACCATAAATAGCTGCTGTAATGCTACATGGAAGGTAATTGCACTATCATTTAGATAGGTAATCTAGGGGGAAAAAAATCACAATGAGTTGCATCATAAGTTGTGGTTTGATTAAATATTTCCTTTGGCAACTGTACTGGCTTAAGTAGCCCACAACTCCCCTGCTGCCCTCTACAGAATGACTGGCTCAGAGAATTAACCCAGTGAAAAACTAAGCTCTTAACAGACACAATATCACTAAAGAGACTAGAGTGAACAGGGTGGCAGAATCTGTTAAATTAGTACTTATGAAAAAAAATGTTCTTTATACTGTGCACAAGTATCAGCTAATTAAGGAGTCTAGTCTCTCTTCAGTTATATTATCCAAGCCCATTCCAGAAATCACGATATACGACATGAAAAATTAGATTGGACCAAAGCCAGTAAAGAAAAAGAGCAAATGCAAGAATTTTACCATCTTCTACTGAGAGACCTACATAGAAAATTATAGGTCATTCTCTTCACTCTGTGGCTGCCGTGAGTATATTCATCTTTAATGTTCCCTAGCAGAGCATCTACGGCACAAGTTGCCCAAGAAGAAGCATACTGGTCGGAGACATGTTTGAAGGACAGAGTTAAGATCTAGGTATCTCACTTTCAGGCCAAATGCAGTAACCATTAAAATATCCTAAAACATTTTGTACTGACTCAATGCTCTAACCCACTGTACAAAACATAGGTAATGGGTATTACTGTTAGGAAACCTAGGTGTTGCTCTTCCTCATATTTTGACTCCCATGAGACTTACACTGCAGCTATATGCAGGTGCTCAGGTGGAAGCAGTTCTGTATCTAAGCAAACAAACCCAAAACCACATGCATGAAGAGCATTTTCAAGCAGCTATAAAGGTAGGCACTTCGAGGTTTAGGCATATTTGGGGTAGGACTATACACCTAAAATCTGCTCAGTTCAAAAGTATCAGTGTGTCTTGAACCTGTATCCTACCACAGTACAAGACATGAATTGGATACCCCAAGAATCCAGTTATAAAATTTTGGCATGCTTAACGTTGCTCCCAACAGCAAATGGTAAATTTTACTACCAACTTCAACATGATAGATTGCTTACATTCCACGAGAGGTTGGTTTGTTTGTTTTTCAACTTTGCAATGGGAATTTTATTAGAATGAATGGAGGCTTCACAATTGTCAGTCTTTGAATTTCCTGTTTTGGTTAATGTAGGCATTAATCACCACACACAGTATTAACATGGTTCTTAGAACTTTGTAAACAATCTTGCTGGACAGTCATCTAGTGTTAGGAAGAGGCACTTTTTATCTAATGTCAAAGATGAAATGGCCATAATTGTAAAAGAACAAAACCTAGGCAGAAAGAAAGACTCTTGAAAAATTAAATGCTTTTACTAGCTTTCGTTCCTTTTCAGCTTGTTCACGATGATCCTGCCAAAAGAATGTGTACTTGTGTTTCACAGTCTATGACTGGATCAATTTTAGATTATTTTAAAGGAGCAGTCTCTTTTAGCTTCTCATTGCCCATTCTTTCCCTTCTCCAGACTCAAAGACTACTTCATATTTGCACTTACTGATTAATGTATGTAAGTAGAAAATGTTATGCAAAACATACATTTATTTAAAGGATAACATAATAGAAAATCTCACTTGAATTTCCAAATTTGACTTAACCATTCTGACATTAAGCATATTTAAGTCCAGATCTTTCTACACAAAGACTTGTAAACTGAAGTTTACCATATCCTAGTGTAAAGGATTCCAAACACAATTAGTCACAACTGAACTAAGAGTAAGACTGAAAAACTAGTTAAACTTGCATGGTTTAGTACTAATAAACTTGAAATAGAAGAACAGATTTTTTTTTTCTCCAAATGGTCCATTTAATAATTTGAAGCACTGATATTTGCAAATAGATTTCTTAAAAATATATATATATCTCATTTTAAAACAACAGCATTGCAAAGCATAAATAAACTCTATTTGAAAGGAAAATAATCTTCTCTGCAGAAGTTAATGCAAAAATAGACCAGCACCTCAGTCACTACTAGAACTGTCTGAACTGTCAGAAGATGAACTTTTTTCCTTCCGTCTCTTCTTTTTCTCCTTTTTATGATGTTTTCCTTTCTTAGATTTATTCTTTTTTTCCTTTTTCCTTTCTTTTTTGTGTGATTTTTGTTTTTTTGACTTTGTCCCATCCTCTTCAGATGCACTTGATGAGGAAGATCTAGTGAAAAAAAAAAAAAAAACAAACCAAAACCAGATTGATACCTAATTAAAGTAGGAAAATGCTATAAGAATAATGTGGGGTTTTTATATTTCAGTATTTATACAATGTCACAAATTGAATTTGGTGTAGAATTCACACAGTAGCATCCACTGGAAAGCAGTCTGCATGTCCAACTGAATGATGACTTTTCTAATTAGACTACTGTGCCAGAAAAGCAGTATGTTACGGAATAGGCAAGTTTTGTGGTTTTCAACCTTCAATAAGAAAAAGACTACTAGTACGGACGGAAAGAAAACTGAAAGCATGACAGTAAGATAAGAGCTTCCAGATTTTAAAATATCACATGATCAATAACAATGCTACAGTAATGCCTTCAGACAAATCTTAATGTATTTATCTCATGCGAAAATCTAAGAGATACGACAAATTTGGATGCTCTTGCAGCTGGTAATATTGGTCTCCAACCAGCAGTGATGAGTGATTACATACATACAAGAATTAAGATGACAATCAAATGCACTATTACTACACTCAAGAGGGCAGTTTTGTGCTATTATTTACATGATTAACTATTAATTATTTGCACATAAAGACCACAGCCAGCAGGCTGACTCTTTTTTACTGTCTTCATAGTTAGAAGTTAGAACTACACTATGTAAATAAGAAAGGGAAAAAATGCCAATACATCCAGTGTTAAATCCTGTTTCTTTATTTCTGAAAAACATCTTATTGTGGCCTCCAAATACACTACACATTTCCTAGGTCCCAGTGCAGTTCCTGGGACATTGTCTCATCAACAGTCCTAATGACAAACTAGTCTAGTCTCATCTCAAAAAGTCAGTCTGCAGGCCAAAACTGAGATTCACAATAAATTCAGGTATTATGACATTTTCCTTTGAAACTGGAGTAACTTTTTTTAGGCTCCTACAACAACAGGAACATTAAAATGCAACACATGCTAAGTAAAACTACAGAAGTCTTCCTTTAGATAGTTACATTACTGAGAGCTTGTGTGTACACACAGGGAATCTTAGGGTCTCTGAACCGCAGGGAGGCTTCTCCATGAGAGGTAAGCTGGAGACTAACCCCATGTACCTCCTGACTCTTGTTCTTTTCCCACCACATCTTGGCTAGTGTTGGACAGCCAGAAGGGAGCATTGCTGTCTCAGATCTGCAGAACGCCAGCTTGCTAGAGCTTTCTAGTCTTCCATGGTCCTAGTTCCACAGCAGAAAACCTGTGGCCTAACCATACTCAAAGAACAAACAAGTTCTCACTGGAAAAGAGGACATTTTTCAAATCAAAGATGTATTTGCAAATAAAGTTGCAGCAAAAGAAGCAATGTTTTCTGAGAAACAACCCAAACACTAGAAATATTTCTTAACTTCTGTTTTGAAATTAGAATAGGTGTGCGATTGAGTTACCTTTTCCTTGGTCTCTTTAATTTTGGTTTTTCTTTGCTTTTTCTTTTTTGTTTCTTTTTTTCTTCCTCCTCATTGAAATCTATGGATAAAAAGTTACAGTTTACAAAATACTTGTCTGAATTAAGATCACCATCAAAAGAGTGGCTTCAATAGCAATGTAAAGTTACTACAAAATTCTTGTTAAAAGTTTTTATTTTCCTTCCTCCAAATTCTGGTTTAGTATAGTAATTTAAGAAGTATTTTGCAGAGTAGCAGAACATTTTACACAACTTACATTCTAATGACTTTGATCTAAGCACTAAGGATGAAGGAAGGCCCATAAAACATAGCAAAAAGTTGTGAATTTTCCTATATGTTTGCATCAGTTTTAGGTTTTCATATCCATTTTCCTGTATTTTAAAAGACTTACCAAAGTCTAAAAACAAGCCATTTAACTAGAATGGAGGAAAAAAAAAAAAAATTCCCTTAGGCTTAGCTGAATTACTTTCACAAACCCTCATTTCACACTTCACAAATAGCTATGCCATAACTGAGACACATTTGAGTTAACTGTCAATAAACTGTCTACAAAAGTGTCAGAAGAGTCACTCCTCACTTGGTTCCTGCCCTAACACTGTATAGTATTGTATAGTATCGTCACATTCAACTTACATGTAATGTTTTTTCACACTGGATGTAATTTCTGATGTTAGACTTTTCTATACTAGTTCAAAAAGTATTTTTGAATTCTCTGAAATGCAAATCCATTACATAAATAGGAATGACAATGTCAGCTAACAGGAAATTACTGACTTTACAATTTATTCTTAAAACAGATATCTAATTTAGAGCATTTCATCACACAAATAACTTTCCATTAAGTCTGCATGCTAGTGCAGTTATTCATTTACCACCACAGATAGAAATTACTGGTCTGTACATTCTGGAGCAAAATTTGAAAGAATTCAATATGAGTTACAAAAAGCAAATTACTTTTGGAGCAATTAAAAGTGATAAATAAACAAGAATGTTTGAACAAGCACTCAGTATTTTTTTTTAAGAAAGCCATGCAAAAATCTAAGTGCAAACAACGTAAAAATGTTGAGAAGCTGAGGCCACTTTAAAATGGCAAAATCCTGCCTAGAATATTGACATTTAAAGATACATATCTATTTAGAGTACACATAGCAGCCACAGTTTGACAAAAAACATATAATAGTGTTATATTACACCATCAAGTAAGCTGTTTTTCCTGCAGATATCCAACTTTAACCAGTTCAGGGCCAAAAAACCCCCTCACATTCTGAAGTACATAATAAGTGGGAACAACTTTTTCCAAAGAGACTTGTTCCAAGAAAGGACTGCTGCAGTACCAATTCAGCACTCCTGACAAGCTGATTATCCATTTCTTTTGAAGTCTTCCAGCAAATTACAGGGTTCTATCTATCCCTTCTCCTTCCTAAACAGCATCTCTATTAGGAGCTGAATGTCCAAGTCTGGAATGCAAGAGGAGCAGAACAGAATAAAACACGATGTTTCAAAGGGCAGAGTGGAAGAACATTCATCCATTTAAAACATGCTATGGTGGAACAACCTTCCCTTCTTACCTAGGGGAACAGCCTCTTTGGAGTCCAAATTCAAATGAGCTCAAATAGCTGCTAAATAGTCCACCTGACAAACAGTTAATGCTCAGACTTTCCAAACTGAGAACAGTACTCCAAATATCAATGTTTAAGCTCATTTCACTGTTTCAGTCAAAACACTACTTAGAAACTGGAGAGAAATTCAGCTGTCATACTTGTCATAAATTTTAAGAGATACTGTCAACTTTAAGATGCTTTAACTACATGCCATAATCAAAAGATTCACTCAGAACATCCATGTCATTTGCTCCTAAGCAGCTTCTTAGTAGCAGTCTGACAATCTTCTATTTGGGAGCCCTTTTTGAGATTTTTCAAATGGGTACATTATTAATTTCCTGTGACAGGAATTAATAACAATAATAATAGTAATAGAAATAGTAATCAGAATGTGGGTGTATCAAATCTCTGAAGTCTGAACAAATTAAGTAAAAGACCTACTTTTAAAGCACAGTCTAAAAGAACGAATAGTAGTTATCAAAGAGGATAAAAATCACAGTTCCAGTACTTCAGAAGACCATGATCAAATTTGCTCTTTAAGAAAAAAAAAAATAAAACCCCAAAACCTTACTCTTTTTTTCACGCATGGCTTGCAATCTCTGAAGTTCTTCCTCCTCACTGTCTTCACTGCTAGTGCTGCTAACATCTAAAACAATATCTCGTTGAGGATCTACTCGGAGGAAGTTTCGGCATTCAAATGTCAGATGACCCGCTGAATAAAACAAATATTCAAAAAGAAAAACAACAATTTACCAAAAAATAACAGAAAATAAAGAACATCCATTTCAGTATTACTCAGTTTTGAGAAGTGAAAAAAGGCTAGGCTGCAATCTATGAACAAGGAAGGAGAAGGCTCACTTTGAAAAAGCCTCAAAGAATTTTAACAGGTTGTGCAATGGTATTCCATTTAATAATGCTTTATGACCTCTCACTTATTACTGTTAATTTTAAGATTTTGCCCTTCCTTTCTATTTTTTAAGGGTCTCAGATCCTTCCTGAAGAAATTACCTAAAAGCATGAAGTGAAATATTAAAAAAACTACAGCAACTGTGTTACATTGCTCTTTTTGTCTCCCTCTAATGAAACAGAATAATTCTATTTGCTTATGAGAAATAGTCTTTAACCACCAGTACATAATACTGACTAAGTCAAGTACAAAATACTTGACTAGTATTTTTAGTTTTCTAAGTTACATCTCAATAATCATCACAAGGTTAGAAACCTTATGCTGAATATACCTATCAGAATAATAAAGAGAAATAAAACAAATTGAATAAATTGTTTGGGAGAAACTAAGCTGAAGACACAGGAATTCTGGTAGCAATTGAAATAAACTCATCTGCTTCATATCAAAACACCTACATCTTGGAAGACAGAGCTTTTCAGAACATAAATACAGGTTGTGTGAGTTGATTACAAGTTTCCTTCTCTTCCGGAAAGATTCTGATACTTACTGCATGTAGAAATGAAGCACTAAATCTATACAGATATCCATGTTCCTTTGGAAGAATAGATATACAAAGGAATTCATTGACAAAATTTGATGGAGACAAAGTCTACAGTGAAAGAATGAAGCAAGCTTTTTTCCCCTTTCACCCCACATAATGCTCATTTTAAATAGATTAAATCACTCCATTAGAAGTTCAACACAATTCACTGCAAAACAGTGGCCACTCCTCCATTATTCTAAAAACAAGAGTTAGTGATTAACAAATTAAAATCTTCACTAGGACCAATCTCCATTCATCAAGAGTAGCCACAGACATGCTTTTATGATCAGAGGATAATCACAGAATGGTTTGGGCTGGAAGGGACCTTAAAGCTCATCGAGTTCCAACCCCCCTGCCATGGGCAGGGACACCCTCCACTAGACCAGGTTGCTCAAAGCCTCATCCAGCCTGGCCTTGAACACCTCCAGGGATGGGGCATCCACAGCTTCTTTTGGCAACTTGTGCCAGTGACTAACCACCCTCACAGGAAAAAAATTCTCCCTAATATCTAATCTAAAGCTACACTCTTGCATCTTAAAACTGTTACCCCTCATCCTACTGCTACACTCCCTGATAAAGAGTCTCTTCTCTTTCTCTCCTGTAGGTCCCCTTTAGGTACTGGAAGGCTGCTATAGGGTCTCCCTGGAGCCTTCTCTTCTCCAGGCTGAACAACCCCAATTCTTTCAGCCTGTCCTCACAGGGGAGGTGCTCCAGCCCTCTGACCATCTTCATGACCCTGCTCTGGACCTGCTCCCAACAGGTCCATGTCTTTCCTGTGCCGAGGACTCCAGAGCTGGATGCAGTACTCCAGGTGGGGCCTCACCAGAGCAGAGGGGAGATTCACCTCCCTCAACCTGCTGGTCACGCTTCTTGTGATGCAGCCCAGGACACAGCTGGCCTTCTGGGCTGCAAGTGCATACTGCTGGCTCATTGACCAGCACCCCCAAGTCCTTCTCTTCACGGCTGCTCACAATCTATTCTCTGCCTAGCCTGTATTTGTGCTTGGGATTGCCCCACCCCACGTGCAGGACCTTGCACTTGGCCTTGTTAAATTTCATGAGGTTTGCATGGGCCCACTTCTCAAGCCTGTCAAGGTCCCTCTGGATGGCATCCCTTCCCTCCAGCTGTCAACTGCACCACACAGCTTGGTGTCATCAAACATGAGTTAAATGCTAACTACAGAACTTATAAGTAGCAAAATTAACTGTTTCTTGAAATATAGTATGCACAAAGAAGTATGTTTTCTTAGTGTAGCAGATCATACATATTTTGAATTATATTTTCTTTCAAAATAGATTGGACATTACTTGAGCTGAAATGCCTAAGTTTACAGTGAGACTCAGAAGAAGCACAAATGCTAATCTCAGTAGATATCAAAGACTTCAATTGAAAGTCTCTCAAATAAATGCATTGCAAATGTAGTATATATGAATACAACAGCATACTATTTTTTTCTGAGAATCTTGAGGGTTTTCAAAAGCAGCAATAGGTGTAAGGAGGCAGAGAATGAATAGGAAATAAATAATAATAAATATGGTAATTTAAACTGACAAATGTCTGAGCAACAGGGGAAAACATTTCTCTTGTTTTGGTTTGGTTTTTGTTCCCTCCTCAAAAGGCAGTTCCAGCATCATAAATTGAAGAAAACACTGTAACTTCATACTGCTTCCTACAGACTTACGGTAGCCGCATTTCTTGCAGCCTGCTCTGATGTTATCCTTATTTCCACCTGAAAGAGAAAATTCCATCAATTAGGTGATGCTAAACAGAACTCTCAGGTTTCTTTTACATCTGGCTTCACAATGTCAAGACACAGACAAGAGTGATCACTCCTCAGAATACTAAGTACACCAAGATCTCTTAAAAAAACTTACAGAAAAGCAAACCAGTTTCTATAGGTCACTTTTCTGTGCAGTAATCAGAACAAAGTTGGCTAGTATAAAATGCTACAGATTACTTAGTTTAACCTAACTTATTGACAAATCCTCATTTGATTTATTATGACCTTTCAATTATAATTTTAACAAGTATTCCACTTCTCTGAAAGCTTATGCAATATGTTCCAGCATGGACAAAATAACAGCTGACATTCCAGTGATCCATAACTGTGTTCAAGTGTACTTATAAATTCTAGCAGTTCATGGATGTTGACAGACATTCACTGGAAACTCTGAAGTAATTTATATTTTAATTACAACAACTGTCTTAGAGAGGCAATTAAAAAACCAGAGACAGTCACTTCCAAAAAGTGACAAAAGACAGACAAGCAATTAAAGAAAAAAAAAAAAACCTAAACAAATTGCTAAATTATTCTGAATCCAAGCAACATGGCACCAAATGCAAAGAATTAATGGGTGCATGAAAGCAAATGTGGAGTAAAGTGAAGAGAGTAACAGAAAAGTCCATAGATGCTATGCAGGAAGCAGGACCACACCAGTGTGAATTTTAGCTACAGAAAGTGTGTGAATTTCTCTTATGAGCCCACAGTTAGGTTAAATAGACATAGTAGGACATGACTCGGAAGAGACCTGCCCCCAAAAATAGATCAGTCTTATTTTTAATTATTTGAGCCTATTCATAATGAAAGTCACAACTGAATTTCCAGAATCAAAGGGTGGCCTTCTATCTTCTAACTGAATAGAGTGTGAAAAAAACTAATGACTTAAACACTTACATAGATAATTGATTTAAATAAATAATTAAGAAAACAAGAAATCCATGACAGAAATTACAAACCAGAAAAGGAGTAACATTAGCTCCATGAATTTAAACTTTGATTTACTGAGACAAGCACGGTCTTTAGAAAATTCTACTCAAAATAACAGAGAAACCTTCAAACCTTCATATTCTGTGCAAGGCATGTCAGTACAGTCATGCACCTGCTACAAATTCTCCTGTAATACATGCAGGTGCCATTTGTCAGGATTTCCAACAGAACCACCCAGTAGATGACAAGAATATTGTCACCAAATACTCCCACCAAATTTGTGAGACTGAAACATTATTATTATTTTTGGCTTTAAATAATAATGTGAGACTTGGGGGTTTAGACTAGAGGAAGATTATTAAAAGCAAACAAATTACCATAAACTTCCTTTTCTTACTCCCTTCTTACCAGGTGTTAATCCTCAAGAAAACTAACAACCAACACAGCAGCAACCATCATTAAGGACCTAATTCACTCAGTGGAGCACAAGGTTGCAAAAAAAGGCTTTGGAAACCTCTGCATGCTAACTTGAGATGTCTTCCTCAAGAAGGGGAGCAAGCTTGTTAAGGTCTTCTCTTAAGAGAAGCTTACCAAAGCTCAGGCTTGTTCAGCTGTCTCCAAATGAACACTCATGTTTCAGGATCAAGAAAAAATGATGGAGCAATGGCCATATGTTTGGCTAACACAGATCTAAACACCTTGCAAATAGCACAAGTGTTTCTGCCTGTCCTGTCTCGCCATCGTTCTCAACGGGGCTGTTTAAACAACCACCGAGTGGGACACAAACGTTAATCCTGGTCAAAAGACGAGGAGGAAAAACAACTCTAACAACAACCATTCTTCCGATCTATTTTTAAGGAAGGTGGCTTACGCTGACAGACGACAGCCGCGGAGCACTGGGCCACCACTCACACAGAACACCGGGGAGAGGCCCGCAGGCCTGGAAGAAAGCTGCTGCACGGCCGCGCTGCCAACGGCCGGCCTGCCCCCGCCAC